TCCTGGCCGGCCAGCCTCACCTAATCAGGAAGATCAAGTCCTGGTGAGATACCCTGTATCAAAAAGGGGGGGGGGGGGAAGCACTGATTTTTAAGGCATTCAAAAACATGGTGGCCAACACATGCCACATCTCTATGGGTACAGGGCTTCCTTTTGAGGTAATGGAATGTTCTAGAATTGACTGCAGTAATAAGTGTGCATATCTGTGAATGTATTCTAAAGCATTAATGTGTTTCTGGGGGGTTTCTTGAGGGGCTGGGGAGTTTTTTTGGTCTTTTTGTGATAGGGTCTCCCTGTAGCCCCAGCTGGCCTGGAAATCAGTATGTAGACCAAGCTGGCCTGGAACTCACAGAGATCCACCTGCCTCTGCCTCCTGAGTGCTGGGACTAAAGGAGTGCACCACGACGCCCAGCTATTAACGTATATTTTTAACAGAATTTAAAGGCATACGATTGAGTAGGGATGGCCCAGGCATATGAACAAAGACAAGAGGACCAGAAACAGGCCCTGAGTCCAATGTCCAGTCCACAGAAATCAGAGGAGGATGAGGACCCGACAACTGGCTGAGGGATGCATCACTGCACACGCCTCCGCACCTGAGGAAAGGAACGGAAGACTGAACAGAGTATGTGCTCCACCATGTCAGGTGCTGCTGACAGAGGAGAGCAGGACAGAAATGGACCCTTGCTCTGGAAACTGGTGGCTGTGGACTATGCAAGACGACAGAAGCAGAGGGGCTGAGAGGCTGGGGATGGCTGGCTCGGACCTCGGTGTCAGGGGACCAGGTCCTTCACTCGCTTCCGATGCCCTTACGTTCAACATCAGGCGCTCCTTCTGAGGCAGCTGCTATGAGGGCAATGTGGTGCGTGCCCACCAGCAGGAGCACCCCAGGGCACAGGATTGCTAGTCTGCCCTCAAGATGACTGGAGAACAGGGTGGTGCTCATGCAGAACACTAGAGTATGCTGGTTCCGCACGGCGGGTCCATCCTCTGCCGTCTGGATCACACCAGCGGGAGCTCACTTGTGCCGGCTCTTTCTGGTGGTGGAATGTGTTGAGGGCTGTCTGTGCTGCAGCATGAATCAGCGCTGCTTCTGCTCACAGTGGCACAAACCTGTGACTATGCTAATGAACTTTCAGTGGATGGATTATATGGTATGTGAGTTACTTCCCAATAAAAACATTTGATAGTTTCAAGAAACCCACAGTACTCGGAGCTCCAGGTTCCTGGAGGAGAAGCATGCCCAAGCTACCATGTTGGTTGTCCCAGATGCTCTGGAGGCCTGGCCGTCCAGGCTGCCACACACCCAAAGTGGCTGCAAGGATGGATCAGGAAACTGGGGAGGTGCATGTTTCATAGGCTGCAAGTCACAGAGAGGAGGCTGGGGGAAGGAGGAGGAAGGAGTGCCATCAGGACTCCAGGCCGTAGAGATGGCTGGTAGGAGAGCCGAGCATAAAGTGTGCTAACCTGAGCACTCTGGCCACGAGAGCAGTTCATGACCATGTAGAGGTGTACTTACACACACAGGCAATACACCCATACAATAAAAATAATAAATAATTTTTTTAAGAAAAGAAAGGGGAAGAAAGGACAAGAGACAAGGCTTGCTGAGGCCCAGCAGGACTCCACACCGCCACCTGAGGAAAAAGGCCGAACTTGAGTTCAAACACTCAGCGCCACAGCCGAGCACAGGAGAATGACAGCAGGGATGGTCCACCACGGACAGGGGGTGAGACGACAGAAACAGAGCAGAGCTCGACACATGCAGAGGCAGCTACAAGGTTGTCAGTCCTGTATGCGCTTGGTTGTAGCACAGGAACAAAGTCCCATCTGTCTGGAGAGAAGGTCAAGCTCATCAGCCTGACGAGGAGAGCGGAGTGATCACTCCACTTGATGGTCCCTTGTTCAAGCTCAGACATCTAACAAGCCCTAAATGTTTCCAATGTCCTGTGTAAACTGCAGGACACCGGAAGGGGGTGACACGGCTGTGTGCCCTTGAGAAATGCAAGAGCCAACGAAACAGAAAATACTTCTGAAGACAAGAAAGCCGCCGACCACGCAAATACACAGCAGCTCATAATGACACCTGTGGCTACGCATGAGGGAGAAAATAAAGGCAGGGACTCCGCGTGCTGAGGACTTGTGAAAGGTCCCCAAAGGAAGCAGAGGCCTGGGGGAGCCATGAGGAAAAGGAAAGTGCCTGACCCTGCTGTAGAAGGAAGTGTATGGGAAGGCAGCTCAAGACCCAGCAGGAAGGCAGGTGCAATGTTAGCCACTTAGGGAAAGCATGCCACATCAGCACCACCTGGAAAGACATGACACTATGTGAGACGTGGGGACCCAAGACAAGAGGACAGGGTCCTGACTAAGGCCATGGGTCAGGGGGCACTCGAGAGCCTAGCCCTGGTGCGGTTCTGTCTCTTCAGAGTCGCTAGGTCTTGGGGCAATTCACAAAATCCCAGGGAAATAGGCGAGGGCGGGGGTGTCAGTGGCAAGGGGCTAGAGAAGGCAAAAGGCCACAGAGTGAAAAAAGAGACCCTTTCCGTGCCACCCCACTGGGAGACCCCACCATTCTGGAAGTTCGTCCTAGCTTTCCATCCAATGTCACTGAAAGGCTGAGCAGTGGGTCATTCACTGGGCAGCATCCATGGTGCCCAACTGCTGACAGCTGCAGGAGATGAAGACACATCAACTGAGACACAGGACAAAGTCAAGGGAGACAGCCATGCTCAGAGAAGCTGCCCTAGTAGTCTGTGGGGCCCCTGTTACAACAGCCAGGCACTCGGTCACCAGGAATGGTAAATAGAGAACGGCAGGCACTGTGCACTGAGGGGGTGCCAAGCCACTGGAAGTGGTGAGCACTTTCAGAACAGTAGTAACAGAAACAGGAGCTGGAGGAAAGAAGATGTCTGACGGATGACCCTGAAATCCCGGCAAGTCAGGACTCTGAACTGGTTTCCTGAGCTCCAAGGTCACTCTTGAAAAACGTATGAATGAAACTCTGGAAAGCACCCACGTGGTGATGGGAATCTTCTCCCTTTAGTGCAAAGGAGCTTTGTCCTGAGGGTGCCCATCATTAGTGCTGAGTGTAGCTTCAGGTCTCTGAGCTTCTGGGAACTCAACACACTTAGACCTTACTGTGGCCCCAGGAGATGAGCAACTGTGCTATTCTGGACTGGAGGGGTCTGCTTCAGTTCCAGGAAAGGGGCCAGTCAGGGAAGCAGTGGGGAGGAGACAGGCAGTGTGCAGACCAAATGCACAAAACTCAGCCAACACTGGAACAAGGAATCAGAATGGGGCAGTCGAGCCACGTGAGACCTGAGTGGAAGCTGCCGGGATGGTGCCGTTTGGGAGTGGACAGTGATGTGCACTCCTGGCCACCTTTCAGAGCAGAGTAGTAACTTCTCACATGTGAGGGTGCTGCCCTCTCAGAGCAGTCCTCAGCTGGACAGAGCAGTCCTCAGCTGGACAGGTGCCTCCTGCACCTGTCCTTCCCAGCAGCACTGTGCATCCAGCACCCAGGCAGAAACATGAGGACCCAGCCCCTCAGCACAAAGAGCAGACCTCACTGGTGAACCATCCAGCAGCAGACGCCCCACAGGCAGTTAAGCCTGTGTCCCCTGGCTGCTGACGAGAACCACATCCCCAAGGGTGATCTGCATCCAGTTACTGTTAGGGAAGGAGTGAAGAGGCTTGGCTGTGGAACACCGTGACAGGAATGCAGGGATGTCCCAGCCCCAGTTCTCCATGGCCATCTGGGACTTCGGCTAGGGCTGCACCGAGCCCCACACGTCCCTGGGACCTCGGCTGGGGCTGCACATGTCTCCCTCTGACATCTTGCTTCTTTCTCCCCCCTTAGTGGCTCCTGATCACAGCAGTCCTTCCTAATAAGCCATACAGCAAACCCACAGCAGCTGGCACCTCCCCTAGAACCCAGCTGGGCCCCAGACCAACAGCAGCTGAGGGCACAGGTGGAAAGGCAGGTCTGATAAGGAAGCTACCAAGTAACTTTTCAGACATCCTGACTCCCTAGGACCTAGAAGACAGTCCAGAGAGCCACCCCAGGAGCCACAGAGTAAACAGACCTGGGCCGGTATGAAATACACAGATACCCCCAAAGTAGGCAGCAGCCAGACAGGGTGAGAAACAAAACCAGGGAGGAGGCTGGGAGGAGGACCGCCTGGGAGAGTGGGCAGATGCTGTGGCCCCTGGAGCACCACGGCACCCTCACCTACAGTTCTAGAAGCTGGCCAGAAAGTCCCCAGAGGCAGCAGTGCTCAGAAGCACACCAAGGGCCTCAGCCTCTGGCTGTTCCATTTCCCACCTGGATGCCATCAGTGACGGGACCACGCGGTGAAAATCCATTGAGCTGTGTCGTGGGGCTTGCATGCTGCTACAACTCTCACATGGTGGTACTCACACCATATAAAGTGCTGGCAGACAGCGGGGCACCAACTATGTTTGGATGCAAAACATTCCTCATGGGTACTGAGGTGGGAGGTTGTGGAACCTTTGGGAGATGGGGGTCACTGGGGAAGCTGGCTTTAAGGTTTGGGGCCTGACCTCACTTCCTGTTCTGCAGAGACACGAGGACTGCACACTTCCGCCACCACAGAGAAACCGCCCACCAAGCCATGCCCACCGTGACAGACTGTACCCCCTCACAGCATGAGCCACAATAAATCCCTCCTCCAGTAAGATGCTTCCTGTCAGGTACAAGAGACAAGGAAATAACGATTAGAGAGCCTAAGTGGGAGGCAGAGGAGGAAGCCACAGACTGAGGAGAGAAATAAACAGGGTAGTGAACTCCCAGAGGAGAGGTGTGAGGGAACAAAAGGGGGTTCAAGGAGGTAAGGAGGGGAAGGATGACCCAGGGCAGGGCAGAACGAGGTACCTGCACCAGTGAGAAGCGGGAGAGCAAGACCACCAGCCCACCACACCCACACCCGGGTGCCCACACATGGGGCCAGAGGGAAAGGAGCAACTATGAGTCCACTCACCCTGATCCGAGAGGAAATCCAGCATGGTCTGCAGGAGGAAGGACAGGTGCCGCACAGACAGCGCAGGGTTCCCCATCCTGCGGGAGGCGTAGACCAGCTCATGCAGCAGGCGCATCTGCACAGCAGCCCAACCTCGGTGTGTGCCTGTGGTGGAAGTCAAGAGCATCATGAAGGGCAGATGTCAAGGTTAGGTGTGAATGTGGAGGCTCAAGGACAACCTGCTCAATTTCAAACACAAAGGGCCATAACAAATACTTCCCATTCATACATTAAAGATGTCTCACCCTGGGGGCTGGAGAGATGGCTCAGAGGCTAAAAGTGGCAGCTGCTCTTGCAGAGGACCCAGGTTCAATTCCCAGCACCCACATGGCAGCTAACCATCCTTAACTCTAGTTGCAGGGGAATTGGACACCCTCTTCTGACATCTGCGGGCACTGCATGACGCAGGTGAACTTACATGCAGGCAACACACTCATACACATAATTTTTATTTTTAATTTTTAAATGTCTTGCCATGGTACAGAGTTAAGTGGTGGAGCACTTGTCGAACACATACAAGGTGCCAGGTTCCAATCCTAGCACCAAAAGAAAAAAATACATCTAACATTATATTTCCTTCTATGAAGGCATGATTTCAAAAGTTCCCCAATGAAACAACCCTAATAAGCTTCCAAGAAAAAGACTGTTTCCAACGGCATGCATTGAGTCACAGACATTTTCCCAATGCTGACATGGGATGGGTCCTTGCTATCAATAATCAAGGACATTAAATGGAAAGCTACACTCTTTCTCTAAAGCATAAGAGTGGGTAGCTAAACTAGATAAAAAGGTTAGCAAGGGACTTTGACAGTGCCTCCTTCCCAGACAAATTGGCATGATTTAAAGTAAAGGTAGGAAGTTTGGTTGCACAGCCGACTCAAAAGTATTTCCTTAAGAACCAGAATCCGGGCTGGTAAGATGGCTCAGGAGCTAGAGTGCCTGCTGCCAAGTCTGACGACCAAGTTCAATCCCTGGGACCCACATGGAAGAAGGAGATGAACCAACACCTTCAAGTTGATGTCTGACCTCTAGATGGACACACACACACACACACACACACACACACACACACACACACAAACAAACAAAAATGTAATTAAAAGTTTTTTTTTTTTAAAGAAGAATCAGAAACCTAGAGTCACGGGTTCTGCTCCCCTTGTCAATGACCAAATCTACAGTTTCCACCTTAAAACTTTCAAGAAGCCACGGAAGCGGGGTGGGGGGTGGGGGGCTCAGTGTTGTGAGAGCCTAAGTGTGACAGTGGGGGAACTGAACTAAATGACTACAGACACGTCTGAGTCCTTGCAGGTCTGTCACAGACATCCTTCCCCCTCCTGGGGCCTCCTTCCCTGGTAGATGGTCCTTGGGGCACCCAGGAGACTGCCCCCTGCAGGATCTCCACAGTGGGATGCAAGGAGTCCCACACAAAGACTTATTTAAATTAGCGTACACATAACAGACTTCCTAAGACATTTTTTTATTTTTAAAAGATTTATTTTTATTATTTGTGTGTGAGAGAGAGGGAAGGAAGGGGGTAGGGAGGGAGAGAGGGAGGGTGAGAGAGAGAGAGCTACTGCTCAGAGGGGCCAAAAAGTAGCATCGGATACCTTGGAACTAAAGTTACAGGTGGCTGTGGTGCTGGGAACTGAACTCCTCTGGAAGAGCAGCAAGTACTGGTTGCTCTCCCTCACCTCCCCGCCTGCCTCCTGCCTGGATCTTCCCCTCAGTACCCGCTTTCCACTTAAGTGCCCTGTGTGCTCGAGTACCCACCCCTCCCCGCTTTCTTCAATCCTTTTACCTCTCATGGACCGCTTTCTCACCTCCTAAACCACCCATACCCACTCCCCCATAAATACACACATATCGAATCAGAAGCTAGGATCCACAGACGGGAGAAAGCATGTGGCATTTGTCTGAGCCTGTGTTACGTCACTTGATGTATTTTCCAGTTCCAGCCAGTCAGCTGTAATGATGCAATTTTATTCTTCATGGCTGAATAGAACTTCATTGTGGATATGCCCCCGTCTGCTGATAGACATCTAGGCTGGTTCATTTCTGTGCTCTCGTGACTAGAGCAGCAATAATCATGGCCACAGTGACTCTGCGGTAGGGCACTTTAGGTATATGCCCCAAACTGACAAAGCTGAGTCATATGCTGGTTCCATTTTTAATTTTTTGGAACCCCTACACACACACTGGTTTCCATAGTGGCTGCAACTGATAATCGTACTAACAATAGATAAGGGTTTCCCTTTCCAACACGTTCCCCAGCATTTCTCGTCTTGTTTTTGGTGACAGCCTTTTCTGACTGGGGTGAGAGGAACTCTTGTAACAGTCTTAATTGGCATTTCTCTTCTCACTAAGGATGTGGAACGCTTTTCAAAATATTTAGTGGCTATCTGGATTTCTTCTTCAAAGAACTATCTATTCAGGACTGGAGATAGTTCAGCAGTTAAGAGCGCTGGCTGCTCTTACAGAGGAGGCAGGTTTGAGTCTCAGCACCCACACGGCAGCTAACAACTGTCCTTAACTCCAATTCCAGGATATCAGACACCCTCTTATAACCTTCATGAGCACTTCATGACATGGGTACTTACATGCAGGCAATACACTCATACACATAAAAAAATTTTAAAGAACCATCTGTTCAGCTCATTTGCCCATTTACTGGTTGGCTCTGTGTTCTGTCTTGGTATTTAATTTTTTAAGTACTTTGTACATTTTGGATATTAACTCCCTGTCTGAAGTACAGCTGGCAAAGACTTCCTCCCATCCCACAGGCTTTCTGCTCTCTGTTGATGGTTTCCTTTGTACAGAAGCTGCTTAACACCATGTAATTCCATTGGCCAATTGCTGAGGCAATTTTCTGTGAATTGGGGTTCTATTAAGAAAGTTTTTGCTTGTATCTGTACGTTAAAGTGATTTTCCTGTTTCGCTCTAGCAGTTTCAGTGTTTCACGTTTTAAATTAAAGCATTTTAGGGGCTGCCTCAATGGTCAAGAACACTGACTGCTCTTGAAGGGAACCCGGGTTTGAATCCTAGCACCCACATGGAAGCTAACAACTGTCCACAACTCCAGTTACAGGAGAACTTAACACCCTCTTCTGTCGTCTGCAGGCACTGCACAACACAGGTGCACTTACATACATGCAGACAATACACTCATACACATAAAGATAAAAATAATAAGCCGGGCGTGGTGGCGCACACCTTTAATCCCAGCACTCGGTAGGCAGAGGCAGGCAGATCTCTGTGAGTTCAAGGCCAGCCTCCTCTACATAGTTCCAGGACAGCTGGGGCTACATACAGGTTTTTAAAAGGGGGTGAGGGCTAGAGAGATGGAGAGATGGCTGAGTAGTCAAGAGTACCAGCTGTTCTTGCAGAGAACCCAGGTTCAGGTCCCAGCACCCACATGGCAGCTAACAACTGTCCATAACTCCAGTTCCAGGGGAATCTGATGCCCTCTTCTGGCCACTGAAGATACTACACACTGTGGAACACATATATAGGCAGGCAAAATATTCAAACAGATAAAATAAAAATAAACAAAACATTTTAAAGTAGCTGATCCACTTTGAGTTAATTTTTGTGTAGAGTAGGAGAAAGCTCCAACCTCATTCTTCTGCAAGTGGCTTTCCAGTTTTCCCAGCACAGTTTATTGAGTAGGTTGTTTGTTTTTTGCCCCAGTATATGTTTTTGAACCTTTGTCAAAAATTAAGTGTCCACAGGTGTGGAGGTCTGCTTCTGGGTCCTCTTCTGGGTCCCACGTGTCTGTTTTTGTGTGTCACCTAGCTGTCCTTGTCACTATGGCTCCATAGGATAGTTTGAGGTCAGGTAACGTGACACCACCAGCTTAGGATTGCTCTAGCTATCTATGATTTTTTGTGTTTCCATATGAATTTTAAGGTTGTCGTCCTCTAGTTCTGTGAAGAATGTTGCTGGAATTTTTATGAGGATGACTAAATCTGTAGACTTTAAAGTATATGCTGCACTTGCACTCTGCACCCAGGTACTGATTCCAGCACCTGAAAGGAGTCAGGTGACCTTTCACCCCTACCCAATGACTGTCCAGGGCCAGGTCGGTAAATCACTGATCCAAGAGTTAGATCACAAAATCACACACAGGTGCATTCAGGCTCAGACAAAACTGACACTCACTGGAACCCTCCAACAGTTCAGGAGAGTCACAGTTAACATGTACTTACTAGGCACCTCAAACAAGGCAGATACAGGAAAGAGTCAGGGAGGAACAGAGTACCGTCCCTCACGGGGTATACATTCTGTGCAGATAAGCCCTTGGAAGGCACATATGCTGTGAATGCTGTAGGAACCCAGAAAACAATGGCAGCCACTGGTAGGCATGGGAGGTGGGTGGGCGAGGAGGTGGCACATCTGCCAGGGTCCCACTCGTCACAAGGCTGTAAGCAACCCATTTAAAGTGCTTTAGTACTTTATCCTAACTTCCCAATAAATGTTAGCTGATAAATGCTAATATTATGACTCAATGAATATATGTGGTTAACATGCAGCGTCAACCTCTGACTCTTAACTGTGAAATGATTAATGATCCAACCTGCTCCATTATTGCCTTGAGAATGAATCCTCCGCATACCAGATCTCTGTTGGTGTAGTTATTGGGGGAAATCACCTACTTATGTGTCAAAATCCCTCTCCCCTTGTGTCCTGAATTCCCACATCTGAGGACCGGACCATGTGCTTACCCTATCAGAGCGAGAGCTGCTGCAGAATTAGGAAGTCAGTCCATGTCAACTGACAATGTCAGAGCACAAAAGGCCTCTTCTACCACGCAGTGAGCATGGACACTGCTTCCTACATGCTAACCTCCAGCAGCTTATCTACCAGAATGTCTGTCATGACTCCTGCTGACTTCTTCTCCTGCCTCCTGGCCTGGGCAGCTGACCACTCCATTTTCTGCATGTGCCCAGAAACAGACAGACTCCACCTGGTAGCAGGCAGAGTGAGGCCCTGTGAGCTCATGTTTTCATTTCCTCCATCAGCTCTTCATGGCCCCGGTAGCCTATGATGTGTCTTATTCACCCAAGGATCTTTAATGTCGGGAGGGAGGCCTGGCACCTGGCAGGTGC